TACAGTGGAATCAGCGAAAGAGACAGACAATATGCTACAGTTCATCTTTATGCCCCTCTAGTAACCACTTCATAATTCCACTTAGTTTCTCTTCATTGTCCTTGAGTTCTGCAGCTTTTAACTCAAGGTATTTGCCTTTGTACTTCTTGGTAGCATCCATGAGCTTCTTTAGGTCATCCATGAAATGCTGTAATGGCGTGAGCAGTTTAAACTCTTCCACTGTATTTCTCATTTTAAATAGATGGTCTATTAAGCGCGTAGCATCATCATAGATTAGTGGAGTATAAATTCTATCTAGCTTGTTTTCAGCCTGACAAAAAAACCCCAAAGCAAAATCAATACATATATCCTTTTTATATCATTTATATATCAAAGATATAAAAAGATACATTGATGGATTTTATTTATAGTTATTTGTTTTTTTGGCTTTGCTAATTTCATAACATTAGAAAGATTTATATTAGCAGTGACAGACTCTCATCCATAACATGAACATTGACACTCACCTTCTTTCTCAGTACTTCTTCCTGTAGTTTCTCAACATTTTCTCTCAGTTCCGCCTGTATATTCAGAGGGAATGTCAACAAACATGTGAAGCCTGTGATTATGCCAAAAGCGAAACAAAAACAGTCATTTTGCTTGGGTGGTCCATGACCCAATACAAAAACAATGTAATTTTAAAAAAACAAAACTAATCAATAATTTTACCAGTTGATCCTCATCTATCAGTGAATTTGAAAGGTTAGCTGGATACAGCAGAGTGAAAATGATGAATAAGCCTTTGGTGACTGTGTTCCCACTCACTTCTTTGCTTCTAGGCAAACCTGCTGCTGCCATCACTGTTCTGAAACAACAACAGAGAGCAAACTTACAAAGTAAACTTTTTCTTACTATGAGTCATGATGTTAGATCACAATTTGACAACAAAATCTTTTCTTAATACAGCGTCACAGATCATACCTGGTATTGGAAGGAGAAGCGATGAATGACAAAATAATTGGATGATACACCACACGTACGTTATATAAGACCTGGTGTTACCTCCTCTATGACACGGCTCACTTATGGGTGGGAAGGTCTGTGGGTGTATCCAGCTATATTTGTATTTACTTTTTTTGTGCATAATTATTTGTTCTTGTAAATTTAGTAATTCAATATGAGTACAGTGAGCCAGTGAAACACAAACAAAATACTACAATAAGTTCTAAAAGTAAAAGAGAAAAAGCAGGTGGGTATCCTTTATGTTCACATACTTGAACTGTCACATTGTAACAACAAATATTGACACTGTCATAGTTAGCCACATGATGTTTTTTTTTCCGTTTGAACAGAGTTTAAATGATCAAACAGACAAAGTGTAGCTGCGTAAGGGCCACAGACGCCTACACAGAAACCTCCATAGATTTTGAAATTTTAAAGGTACAGTCAGTTTTTTCGTAAGTTATGAAAACAAAGTGTCTAATTAAGTTTTCAAAAAACAAACAAACTGGTGGATCCTTATAAACTTAAAATTAATCAATTAAAAGTACAGAAGAGCAGACATCGGGTTGTGGAAGCCGCTAATGTGCCCTGGCATCTTAAATATACTGGCTGACATGGACATCCATCTAATCACATTTTATGCATGTGGCTAGAGAACGACAACACAGGGCTGGCCCCTGGCATAAAGTGCCTTTGTGGTTGTTTAGGTTAGCCCTAGCATCGCTAACCAGAAGTTAGCCCCAGTAGTGGTTGGGAAAAATTGGAACAACTGCATCATAACGCTACATCTCAATATGGACTTTTGATTATCCTAACACTGAATAAATGGCTCCTAAAAGAATATCTAGGTGCGCAAAAGAAAAACAAAAAGAAAATCGGAGATGGAAAAAATAAAACAGGCTAAAGGTAAGTATTATTTATTGACTCTACCGGAGTGAATTTGACGATTCTTATTTCAAATGGTCAACTTCTTATATCAAAGTCGTGTTTGAATATATGTAACAGTAAATAGCCACAGTACCTGACTTGCTGGCTCAACATAATAGATGAGATGATGACTCTGAAGCATTTCTTCTGAGAACATACTTATTTTATGACAGTTCGTTCGCCAACCCAAGTGGATTTGTAACGTGCGGTGGAGATGAAGTCAGCTGCGGAGGTGTGCAGGTGGATGGCAAATGAGCAAAAGCTTCTAACTTTCCAAAAGTACTCATTTATTTAAAATATCAAAAATAAAAGTGCTACCTCTACTACACATTACTTTTGAGCACAGTAGTCCGTGTACACACGGAAGAATCCATTACAGAGAGATGGTACGAAGAAGAGCAAAAAATCAGCTCAAGAGGACGAAGGCAAGGAAGACAGCAGGTCTGGATGGAATCTGCTCCAGACTGCTCAGGGACTGTGCAGACCAGCTCTGTCAGATGGCCCTGTACATCTTCAACCTGAGCCTGAGCCTGGAGAGGGTTCCTGAACTGTGGAAGACTTCCTGTGTGGTTCCGGTGCCAAAAATCGCACACCCCAGGGAGCCCAACCACTTCAGGCCTGTTGCCTTGACTTCTCATCTGATGAAGACCATGGAAAGGCTCATCCTGCACCATCTTCAGCCACTGGTGGGCTCAGTGATGGACCCCCTGCAGTTCGCTTACCATTCTGTGGTCAGGGTGGATGACGCTGTCATCTACCTGTTACACCGATCCCTCTCTCACCTAGAGCAGGCGGGGAGCACTGTGAGGATCATGTTTTTTGAATTCTCCAGTGCTTTCAACACCATCCAACCTGCAGTACTGAGAAGGGAGCTGGAGGGAGCTGGTGTAGGCAAACAGCTGACTGCATGGACCATCGACTACCTTACCAACAGACCACAGTATGTGAGGCTCGATGACTGTGTGTCCTTGGTGGTAATCTGCAACACGGGGGCACCACAGGGCACGGTTCTTCACCTTTCCTGTTCAGCCTTTACACTTCAGACTTCTGTTATAATTCGGACGATTGCCATATACAGAAGTTCTCAGATGATACAGCCATCATTGGATGCGTATCAGACGGGAATGATCAGGAATACAGGGGGGTCATCAGTGACTTTGTTGGCTGGTGTGAGACCAACGTACTCCAAATCAACGCCGGCAAGACAAAGGAGATGATCATAGACTTCAGGAGGAAGTCACCCCCTACAACACCGGTGAACATCCAAGGGAAAGACATTGAGATAGTGGACTCTTATAAGTACCTGGGTGTTCACCTCAACAATAAACTGGACTGGACTACAAATACAGACATCCTGTATAAGAAGGGCCAGAGTCGACTCCACCTGCTGAGGAGACTGAGGTCCTTCGGAGTCTGCAGGACTCTGTTAAGGACATTCTATGACACTGTGGTAGCATCTGCCCTTTTCTATGCAGTGGCCTGCTGGGGGAGTGGATGCACGGACAGGGACAGGAGCAGGATTGACAAACTGGTGCGGAGGTCTAGCTCCGTGCTGGGATGTCCCCTGGAGTCTGTGGAGGTGGTTGGCGAGAGGAGGATGTTAGTAAAGCTGACATCCATCATGAACAACCCACATCACCCACTGCATGAGTATGTGAGTGGGCTGAGCAGCTCCTTTAGTCAGAGACTGAAACACCCTCGCTGCAGGAAGGAGCGCTTTCGCAGATCATTCATCCCAACAGCAGTTAGACTCTATAACTCCTCAATCACGATGTCATAAGTCACTGGACACTGTGAACATCCACGGTCACCACTTCATGCATAATGGACCTTCCATGTGTATGGACATGTGCAGGTATATATGTATGTATATGTATACATATGTATATTTAGTGTGTACATGTGTGTGTGTACATGTCTATACATAGGAATAGTAGTGGTACAATAGTTATGTCAAGCTATATAGTTTATGTCTTGCATATTTCCAACCATATCCATAATCACATACTGTGTATGCTACCATTGTATATAGTGTATTGTCTTACTTTTTTTTCATTGATTGTACTTATTTGTATTTTTGTATTTCCTTGTGATATCTGTACCTGCGCTGAGGTAACGCAAAAATTTCCCCGTCGTGGGATCAATAAAGTCTTATCTTATCTTATCTTATCTTATCTTAAAAAAGGGGGTGACACACCAGTCATGAGACAGGAGGCGCCATCATGCGGCGATACACTGCATTACAACAGCAACTGTTACAAATTGTAGACAAAAATAATGACCAAATAACCTCGTAGTGTTTTCTTGTATATACGGCAAATCTTTTCACCTGACAAACAGCAACTAGAAAGTAATAAATTTATCATTAATTTTTGCTAATGTCTTTTTCATTAGAACAAGATATACTTGCTACTCATTTTTTATTCATATTGATTTTTCATTGCTATTTATTTGTTCTTTTCAATGTTATTTTTCATTTTCTTTACTGATATACCTTTTATACAAGTTGCTTTCTTTCTTCGCCTAGCAGTGTGGTGGCTGTGCTGGAAGTGTTTTGGGGCTTCATATAAAATCTCAGTTAGGGCCATTGAAATCTTAGGGCCAGCCAGAAGGCAAAGGAGAAAAGAACTCATAAGCATTTGTGAGCCATGGGGACACTCAATGTAATTCTAGGCTAATCTAATTACTTGTAGCAATAGGAAATGAGCTGGATGTCATACTGACACATGGATTTTGAAAAAACAAAAAAACAAAAACTAAAAGTTTGTCATATGGGGTTATTATAGCTAGGATTATGCAGGGGTTAAGAACAGAGAATTCAGCTGAATGATTGGAGAGTACAGTCTGCAATCTGATGACATCTAGTGGTGAGATTTTACACAATACAACAATCAATGAATTATACTTTTGTCTAATAAACTGTTATGATAACTGCTTTAAAGTCACTTCATATTTTAACAAAATCTTCACTGCTTTTTTTTTTTCAAATTTAGTATATGTAGTGTAATAATTTAACTAGAATTGAATTCATAATAAGTTGGTTCACATTCTTTTGAACTTTCTCTTGTAATTTTATGTTTTGTTTTGTTGCCTTGATATGTCAATATATGAAATTTGTCATTTATCCAATTATTTATAATCAGAAACCTTCTGACTAGATTTGAGAAAAGCGGAAATGTGACAGTTGAATGGTGATAACAGTGACAGGAGAATAATGTAAACTTTAATAAGTCTGACCTGAATTCAGTGCCAGTTTTGGTGATTAAGCACAGCTTGGACCAAATCAAAGTAATGCTGCAGGTTTTACATGTTAAGTTGAAGAGAATCAGGAATGAAGTATTATTATATATTGTGTCACTTATATATAATTGTAAATAAGAATTAGTTGACAAAAAACACAGTACTATCAATATAAATTGTTAAAATGAAGTAAAAAGGAGTTGGCCTAGAATCAAGTTTTCCACAGGTAATACATCATATTTCAGATTTTATTTAAAGTGTATAAATGAATGAAAATGAATCACAGTTCAGGCAATAAATGATGTCCACCTCTTTCATGAAAACATAGTATATCTAAACAACATGTATTTATTTTGAAAATATTAAATAGAAACCGTTAGAGTTCATCTCGTTTTTCCTCTAGAAATTTGATGATGTTCTTTAGTTCTTCCAGTTTCTTTTCATTGTCCTTCATTCTTGCTTTATTGTGATCTTCCGCCCCATTAAACCAAACCCTAGATTTGTCAATGAAGCGACTAAATTTGTTCATCAGTTCCAGCAATGGTGGAAAATCCTCTGCGATTGATGATGTCTTTATTAGTTCATAAATAGAATAAAACTGCTCTATTTTTTCATCATATTCTCTTGAATTGGTTGCTTTACTGTACTCGTAGTCTGCCTAATGAAGAAAATAAAGATGTTTAGTTTATATTCTGTTGTGGAATGTAGTTTCATGTCCACATTTGGCTGACAACATGTGATCAACACGAAACTGACAGACTCACCTTCATTCTGGCTGCTCTTTCTTCTAGTTTCCGAAGTTGTTCTTTGAGTTTCTGAAATTTGCAGAAAGAGATTGTAAGTGTGTCAGTTGCTTCACCGCACCACATACAAACATCTCAAACTGAATAAAAAAAAAAAATTCAACCATTAATGAGCTTGTGGTGACTTGCAGTGACAGATAAACATGTATCGGTCATATGACAAAAGAAGCTAAAAGATTTACCAAAAGTTCTTTATTGCTCAGTGAATTTGCAACATAAACCAATGACAGCAGAGAGAAGATGAAAAAAATCTGTCCTCTGTTTCTGGATAAGGCTGATCTTGCCATCCCTGTTTGAAAAAAACTGGTATCAGTTTGAAAGAAAATAACTAAATATTATTGAAAAAAGAATTCAAAGGATTTGTCCTGTTGGTAATTTATTGATATATTGTATAAAATATATTAAATGTAAACCATCTCACTCTAGAGTGTTACTGATCTTACCTGCCTGGTGAATGGAGTAGGAGTTGCTTTACTGTACAAGTCAGGGCTGAAAACACATTGAGACGACACGCTGCAAATGGCTTATATTCACTGGTGTTAGTTCACTAATGTTACATCTCATGTGTGTGAGCTGCCCTTTTGCTTTTCTTTCCACAGAAATAGTGTCGGTCAGACCCACTTTACAGGAATTAAGGGTCATCAGTTACTCTTGTGACATTTAAAGAAAAAACTGACAGAAGCCACCGACAGCAAAGGCACGAGAATGTGGTTAACACATTTTAACCACAAAGACAAAAATGAAACCAGTCATGATACAATGGTAGAACTGTCATTTTTGTTAAACAAGAGAATAGCAGAGTCTCAGTTTTTCCAATAATATCAGTGAACCAAATATGATGTAAGGTGATGTTAGGTTTGTATACTGTGTTACTACTGTTGTACTATTCATGCGTCACTAATTTTGTGCCACTTTTGTTCGTCGCTACAATCAACACAGGAAGTTAGTAATAACATATAATAAATGTAAATAGGTGGTTATCAGAATACAGTTTTTTCTTAGAGCTTCTACAAATACCAGGATCCACAGTTATTTTAACATGCACATCAATCTGATTGTCACTGATCATTTCAAATCATTTGAAATAAAAAAATATTTTACACAAAGCTTTACTGAAGCATCAAATATTATGCTGTGTATTGTTGCTTGTATCTTTCATGCAACGGGAGTATAACATAAACCTCGCTGATACTTTATTTATATAACTGAATACAATATCTAGTAGATTATAAGCTACTTTAAATAAATAATTACAATATCAGTATAATCCAGTTAATACTATGGAATAAAATTGCACAAACACACAAAAGTAAACAGGGACAGAGGTTTCATTTATTTAAATTTGAAAAATCCATTAAGGCTAGCACTCACTTACAATGTTGCTGTGCATTTAAAGCAACAAATTTTTCTTCACCTACTTCCAAGGTGCATGGAGAAGACAAAGATCTGATGACGTGGAAGACTCCAGCCACACTTATTGTAATAACAAACAACTTTATTAAGTGACCAAACCTTTTTTGTTTAAACATTTTGTGTTTAAATAAAAACAGGAAACAGAAAAACATCCAAGTGGACCAATCACACCTTCACAAATAAACCAGCTGACCAAATTAACATTTAACAAGGTGGCGTTGGCTAATTGGTTAAGCCAAAGCCGAAATAGGTTCTGGACCGAACCACTACAGATTGAAAGGGGAGGAAGGAAAAAAATCCCTGCATATATTTAAAGCAATACAAAATATAATGTACATAAATGATAATGGGTCCAAATGAACATTAGAGACGTTTTTGTGAAACAAGGGAATGGTCCAGGTTTCCAGTATCTTCAATTTTCAGTTTGACATTTATTATATAGCTTTGGAAACATTCTCTATTATTTAGATGGATATCTTAACAGTTTTCAAATGAGCAATATAAGCATGGGAATGTAATAAATCAGTTAACCATCCATATAAACACATTTCTTTATGACATGTTGCAAAACATTGTAAGTCATTGACTACTGCCAGATTTACTGATGCAGTTCAATACACAATCTATGTGTTCAGTGGTTTTTGTTTATATTAGCTCTCTAAAATGAAAATGTCTACAAGCTGATCAATTCATCACACTTTGTAGCACACTTGTACACAAAGTCTTCCTCAGTGAAAACATTTCAAAGCCACTTTCCAAAAAATTTCAAACTAAAGCTGCTTAGTATAGAAGAAGTTTTACACAGGCAGTACATACAATAGCAGAAACAGACCAATGTATTGTGTCTGTAATGATTAATATGTTACAGTTCACCTTTGGGCTTCTCTAGGTGTGTTATCCGCTTCATCACACCACTTAGTTTCTCTTCATAGTCCTTGATTTCTGCAGATGTAGTTTCAAGGTATTTACCTATGTACTCACTGAATGCCTCGAGGAATGTCTTTAGGTCATCAATTATCTCCAGCAGTGGTGGAAAATTCAACACTGGTGCAAAATCTTTCCTTAGCACTTCAGACAAAGACTTCATTATGTGTGGCATATCATCTAACAATTCTGGTATGTAGGTTCTGTCAATCTTGTTTTCAGCCTGAAGGAAAAAATAAAGCCAGAGGAACAAAAAAAAAAAACAAGAAAGAAAGTAATTAAGTCTATTATGTTACAAAAAAGCTTTGCATGATGGAAAATGTTGATTTGCTTTGGTGGTTTATAGTTATAGACCCTCCAGATTGCTCCTCCATTTCCACAACATGGATACTGACTGACTTACCTTCCATCTCAATGCTTCTCGTTGCAGTTTCTGAACATTTTCTTTCAGTTCCTCCTGCAAATAAAGAGGAAACATCAACAAACATGCACGTGAAGCATGTGATTATGCCAGAAAACCCCCAAAACACTGTACATTTGAATGTAATGACTTAGTTGCAGAAGTGCTCAATTTAGCTGTTTGTTTGGAAAGTCAACAATCGCTTTACCAGTTGGTCCTGCTCTATTAGTGAACTTGAAAGGCGGCTCAGACACAGAAGAGTTAAAATGATGTATAAGCCTTTGGTTGTTATGACACCACCCAGTCCTTTGCTTCTGGACAAATCTACTGCTGCCATCACAGTTCTAAAACAACACAACGAAGTAAAGTCTTTAAATTTCACTGGACATGATGTATTAAAAATCTGCATACACTATCTTCTCACAGTACAGTGTTGCTCTTCTTACCTGCTACTAAAAGGAGTCATGAATAATAGCATGAATGTTGAATGACAACACAACACAAAATGCTTTATAGACTCCTTGAAAAGGCTAGCCTGTGGGCGGGTAGGTGGGTGGGTGTTTAGGTGCACTGTGGTTCTGTCAAAGTATGGATTTTAACAACGCTTTATCTAATAAGGAAGTATAACTTTTGAGGTTAGAAACCTCTTTTGAACCAGAGTCTTGGACAGGCAGCTTTTAACAGGCATGTTTAATGATTCACGTTTAATGTGAACTGAAGAAAACTCACCTGACCAGGGAGACGCATTCAAACTCAACATAAAAGGTCATGCTGCTAACTAATGCAAATGCAATGAAGAATTAAAAATAATAACAGTTTGCTTTTTAAGTTTGTGCTTTCTGTTAATTATTAATATTATTATTATTATTATTATTATTATTGTAATGACAGACTTTCACCTTTGGCACTGACTGTATAAAAATGGATTTATATCATATGTTGAGCCTGACAGGTTTAAAGTTCACAGGTACTTGGAAATTAGGAAAAGACTGTTGCTGTAAATCCTCATTATATGTGTGTTACAGAGGATGGGTCTCCAAAATCAGCGTTTATAGACAAATAATCAGAATAAATAATTCTCTACTAGTTTGTCATTCATTTTTGGTCACACTGAAGAAAAAGTAAGTCTTGTTAATACTATGTTTCAAAAGGGAGGAATGAATTATGATATGAAACCCTGGATGATCTTCTTTTGGCTTATAACCTAATGACTTTGTGACAACATATTAGACAATGAATTTCTGGTTTTCCATCAGACCCACCCTTCAAGCCTCATATCAAGACTTGAAAATCAGACTTTAGAAACAAAAGATTTCCCATTATGACAATTATTTCAGAGATTCAAAAAAGGACGCGTAATATGATTTATTTATTTTTTTACATAATATATTTATTAAAATTGTATTATGATGTCAAATCATTGGACAAGAGCGGCAAAACCAAAAGACGTTCTCTGGGAATAAAGATAACTTTTATTGCATCAAACATTTACTTATTTAAAAAAGTTGCAGATAATTTCATAAGAATATGTTTGGTTTAATCTGGAAAATTATATAAAAACAATATTTTTCCACTGAGACGCAGACAGAACGTAAACTGTTACAACTCAGTATCTTGTTTCTCTTGTTCTCTAGTCTTGCAGCAAAGCCAGTCTCTCGTCTAAGTAAATTCTAGCAATCTTTAAGGCTTTCCTTGCAATGTTAGCCATTTCCATCAGGTCTGAAGAATATGGCAATGTCTTCACTAGTTCCAACTGAGGAAGAAATTGCTTCTTTTTTTCTTCAAATTCCTTTGAGGCAGTCAGCATGCTGTACTTGTATTGTGCCTGATGGGGAAAATACAACTTTTAGCATTTAAATTCATTGTTCAGTGTTACTTTGTGCCACATAGACTCCTGTTTCCTACACATCCATGTATTAGACTTCTCTGTGATGTGCATCACTGAAGGTATACTGATGTCATATCGATTTTTTTTTTACTTCCTAATTTTGTGAATTCATGTTGTATATTTCTAAACAAATGTAATCTGCAGACTGACTGGACCACCTTCAGTCTCTCTTCCTCTTTTACAGCTTTGCGGAGTGTTTCCTTGAATAGTTCCTACAATTTCCCAGAAAGAAGCAGAGCACAGTGTGTGGGCTAATATAATGAAAACACACATGAAAACAAGTAAATTCTTAATTTTCTCAAAATTAACAAAAGCAAAATTATTCATTTACCAGTTTTTCACTGTTAGCCAGTGAATTTGAAAGCTCGAATAATTTTGTGATTGTTGCATTTCTATGCTTGTGTTCTGCCTGATGAGAAAAAAAATCACAGTTACATGTTAGTTTATTAGTTACAGTTATTAGAGATGCATGATATATAAAACTTGGAGACTGACCAACCTTCATTCTGTTTGTTTCTGCTATTGCTATCTTCATTTGTTCCTGAAATTTGAGACAATGGAAACTGCTCAGCCAAGTATAAAGCCTATTTCATTTAAAGAAAAATGCTGATAACTTGCAGTGTATGTTAACAAGTTAACAAATAAATTGCAAGGATGTTATGCAAGGATGAATTCACCACATAGTCCTTGGTTTTCAGTGAATTTATGACGCTAACGAGACACAGTAGAGAAAAGATGAAAAACAGGCACTTGTGTTCTCTGACACAAGCTTGTCCTCTGGTTGCGGATAAGGCTGCTGCCATCGGCCCTGAAGTTAAAACAGAATATCAAAAATAATGGAAAATGGAGAATTGTAGTTGAATACATATGCTGATATTTTTAAATATTTTGATCAGACAGAGCTAAATGTAGGATGTCGAGACCGGCTTCACCTTTCATGAACATGAAATCAAGTAAACATGAGGTACAGTAAGTGGTACGTGCTGTGCTGAACATAAATACACAACCAGAATGCAATCTTTTACTCACTCAATCAGACACACACACACACACACACACACACACACACACACACACACACTGACATGATGTACAATGCTATCGATCTTACCCATTTGTGACTTGAAGAAGAAGTAATCTACCGTAGGGGTAAGGAATGACAACACGGTGAGATGACTCGCTGCAAATGCTTTATGTTCTCTTTTGTCACTTCACTTATCATCATCTCACATGTGTGAGCTACCCTTTCAGTTTCAGTTTCAGTGTTTTACACTTTTTGGGAATAGACAGCTGCCAGTTATTATACTATAAAAACCCTCCAAAAGCTTTCCACTTTAAGCTCTTCATTCCTTTTACAGTATAAAAAGTGACTAGGAACCATTTTATAAGATTTTAGGGTAGGGTAGGTAATTAGCAATGTTTACTAACTTTTAGTAAAATTAGTTATATCCACCTATGAGAAATAGCTTTTGCACAAACCTATTTTGAAATGAATTCTCTGTAGTAATAATGTATTGTAAGCTGATAAAAATATACTAATAATAACGTATTAGTATTTGTTAAATATGAGTAAATATTATTTTCCGTTTAATAGTAAAGATATATTTGATGAGTAAGGCTGTTTCCCAGTCATTCAGTCAGGAAAATAATGTGCATGGATTTATTTTAAAGCAGTTACACAAGAGAATGCACATCTAGAGCTCAGATTCAGTAACAATTGCTGGTCAGTTCCAAACTGTTGCAGTTGAAGGAAGAGGTTTCTGGAACAAAACAGAGCTTGTTATAATTTCTTTAGAGTCAACAGAAACTATAACAAGCTATAACAGCATACTGTTTAACATTTAGAGATTGTTTTTGATTGAAATTTATACCTTTATATGGAGAAACATAGTCCTTGTTGTCCAGTCCAAGCTTGGCTGCAAAAAGCAACCCTGACTTTTGGATTATGTCAGTGGTGTTACCATGTGTTTGGTATCATGTTTCTGAAAGCAGTTAGGAGGAACTGTGTGGCAATGTCAAAGTTTGTGCCACTTTGACATTGCTTTCAGATCTCTTTTGGTTACAGCTCTCAGGGTCTGGAGTTTCTACATGTTCCTAAAAACAATAGATGCCTCTTTTGTTTTTAGGGATTTTTGTCTCTGCAATCTGCAAGACTGGAAACACAGTATTCAAATTGTTGATTGAGTACATTTATTAGTGCATCATTCAGTGATCTACATAATGTGGTAGGCTTTATCATGCACATCTGATCTAAATGTTATTGAACATAACTGGAAATTAAGGAAATAACACATGCAATGGATTTTCTTTCTTTCTTTCTTTCTTTCTTTCTTTCTTTTAATAAAACATGCCTCTTACACAGTTACGTCCAATTTTTTGGTATATGATATATTTTTTTGTAATTTTGCCTCTGTACACCACAACGGTGGATCTTTAAAAAAAAAAAAATACACGTGACAGACTTGTATGCTTGATTTAACCTTTTAGAGTCCAGGGATTCACCAATTCACATGACTGATTTAGGATGGCCTAGCAGTGACATGGAGTATTCGTAGAAGTGTTAAAATGAATTGTAGAAGTTCAGCGAAATACTGCATAACTGAGCAGAGAGTGCTTAACAGTGCAAATGGACAATGACCCAAATCATACCGCAAAAGGAATCCATGAGTTGTTGAAAATGAGATATTTTTCAATGGCCAAGTCCGTCACGTGATCTCAACCCAACAGACCATTTTTTGCAGTTGGTGATGACAAAAGTGAGTGAAGAAAGACCCACAAGAGCATCTCAAGGTAGGAAACACGGTGTTTGGTGATGTGCATGGGGTCTAGATTTCAGACAGGTATTAACTGTAAATGACATTACAAATTCCGGTGCACTGATTCAAGTATGCATGTTCACCAAATGAAAATGTGTATTTGTCATTTTGTAAATGGAGCTTAAGCAAGGGTTCACCAAGTGTTGTTAGTTAGTGAACTTGGATTGGATTGGATAAATGCCTTTATTTGTCGGTTGCAGATGCCTGCAACTGAGATTAAAGACCTTGCAGACCGTACAGACAATACACAAACATCACATTGGGGAGACATGTCAGGCTAGGTAGCAAAAACGAAAAACAATGAAATGTGTAACAGAGAAGGGCAGTTCAGGAGATAAAAAGAATTTCTGCTCATATTGATCCCCAAAAGGGAGTCAGCATGAAGCTGAAGAATTTGAAGCATAAACCACAGAATCACTGATACTCATCACTTATTGTTCGGACATTAAAAAAGAAAAGAAAAGAAAAAACACAGACAGAAGCAATCATTAACAAAAGGCATGAAATGTGATTAACACATTAAGCACTTAGAACAAAGGAAAGGTAAAGAGTAAATAATGACACAGGAATCAACAGGAAGTCCAGATGTCCCATGTTTCCACTAGCACTTGAATCTAGCTTACGTTTGCGGAACTATGTGAGTCTCAAAGCGCAATGTGCAAGAGATCCCACACACAGATCACATCTGATACACACAGATGTGATCTGTGTGTACAAGCATTATACACGTATCTATTATACACAATTTTAAAGTTTTTTTCTTTCCTATTTTTTGTAACATCCTTTGTTTTTAGGAGAAATTATTTCTTTACAATCAGCACCAGGGGGCAGTATTCGACTGTGTTAAATGTGTTGCTTTTCAGAAGAAGCTGTTTGCACTTCTTAGTACAGCAATTCAGTCACATCAGCAGGCATGTATGTGCGTGTATATATAGACCAGAAGTCCTTTATTTAGTTTAGCTGATGACAAATAAACACATCATGAATAGTATCATTCATCATGACTGACAGTTCATTGTTTTTAGTGTATAATGTGATTAAACTGTAGAATAAACTTCGCAATCCTGATTGATCATTAGACTGCAATTTGAAAGCTTTTGATCTCTAATCTGGAATCCAACCTGCTTCAGAGCGTCCCAGGTTCACAGCAAAAGTTAAAATACACTCTGTAAGAAATGAACAACCTTTACAGCAGCAAACACCCAGCATTAACCCTGAAGTTTCATTTTGCTCTTAGTTTTTGAGTAATGTTTTAGTTACACTCTAGTAACTTGAATTTTTAGTTTTTGTGTTTATCTTAGTTATTTAGGTTCAACTTTTTGTTGAGTGTTTATGTTTTGTATTTGGTTTCCTCAGTTTTCCTTTTTTTTATCCTGTTCAGTGTAATTTTTTTTGTCTTTCTATTTAGTAGTTTTTTGTTTTAGTTGTTTATTGTGTCCTGCTTTGAGTTTTGGCTCCTCCTCATGATTTTCTTGATTGTATACGCCTGTGTTTCACTCTCCCGCTCGTATTTGGTTCTCCTCAGCGCACGTGTGTGTGTGTGTGTGTGTGTCTGTCCTTGGTTCCCTTAATTCACTCCCTTGTTGTATATCTGGACTTTAACCCTTGTGCGCCCGCCTGTTCTCGGGGCGTGGGTCGTGGTGACCCCCCAAGGGGCGTGTGTGTTGTTATTAGGATGGTATTGATGATGATGATGATGATGATGATGACGATGATGACGATGGTGGTGGTGGGGGGGTCTTGGTAACCCCCCCCTGGGGGGGGCATATGTGTGTTTTATGATGATTAGGGTGGGGGTCGCTAGGACCGCCACGGGGCATATGTGTGTTATGGTGATTAGGGTGGGGGTCGCTAGGACCCCCTCGAGCATATGTGATGATGATGATGATGATGACGATGAATGATGATGACGACGATGACGATGATAGCAACATAAGTCGCCTCAAGGCGCACACACATATATATGTGTTATGATGATGATGATGATGATGAGGATGATAGGGTTGGGGTCGCTAGGACCCCCACGGGGCATATATGTGTTATGATGACGATGACGATGATGACGACGGCGATGATAGGGTGGGGGGTCGCTAGGACCCCCGCGGGGCGCTTGTGTTATTACGGCGTCGGTGGCGTCTGGGGAGCGGTGGTGCGGGAAGAAGCGCTGCAGTTGGGACAGTACGTGACGGCGCAGTTGGTGCACACGTGCACTTGGCACTCGTGGCACAGGATCTTGGTCTTGACGTCTTTGCTCCTGGGACACACGCGGCACCTTCGCCTCTTGA